ATGCTACACAGGCTAATGCAGATGCTAAAGAGACGCTGCACAGACTAATGCAGATGCTGAACAGATGCTAAAGAGATGCTACACAGGCTAATGCAGATGCTAAAGAGACGCTGCACAGACTAATGCAGATGCTGAACAGATGCTAAAGAGATGCTACACAGGCTAATGCAGATGCTACACAGAATAATGCAGATGCTACACAGGCTAATGCAGATGCTACACAGTCTAATGCAGATTCATTCACACCACCAACGCTGAAACGCTGAAGCCCCGCTCACCAGACGCGCATTGTCTAGTTTTCAGACGCAGAGGACTTCACACCGAGATGTCCTGACACGAGCCGGAAGTACCGGAAGTAGCCGGCGGGCTCTGATGCTAACAGAGCTATGCTAGCGGCTTCTTGTGTACAGATCTCCTCCAATATTCAGCTTTGCAGCGTGTCTTTGCTCACAGACATTCCACCGGCTTTTAATAACAGTAGTATGTGTTCACGGAGGTGCGCCATACGTTTTTTCATATTATTAAACAGTATTTCCGCATCGGCGAACACACTCAGAGCAGTTGCATAAGGTCACGGGAGCATGACAACGCATATATTCACAAGCACACAGTCCCGCATTGTCAACCCTGGTTTGAGTTCTGGTGAAGTCTGGTGTGAGTCCTGTTTTGGCTGTTTACGAGTATTTTAAGTCTGCTCGCTCAGTCCGCTAATGTCCCCGTGACCACTTTGCTGCTCTCTGATTGGTTGTCGCACGAGCGTCCCAAGGAAAGGATGAGCAGAATCCATCTCCTGTGGGCGTCGATTTTTCGCTCCTGCTCCTCCCTTTCACTTTCCCGCCAAGTGCGTGTCTCCTGAACAGTCCGTGTGTGTCCACTGAACAGTCCGTCCGTGCGTGTCCACTGAACAGTCCATGCGTGTCTACTGAACAGGCCGTCCATGCGTGTCCACTGAACAGTCCGTCCGTGTGTGTCCATTGAACAGTCCGTCCGTGCGTGTCCACTGAACAGTCCGTCCGTGAGTGTCTACTGAACAGTCCGTCCGTGCGTGTCTACTGAACAGTCCGTGCGTGTCTACTGAACAGTCCGTGCGTGTCTACTGAACAGTCCGTCCGTGAGTGTCTACTGAACAGTCCGTCCGTGCGTGTCTACTGAACAGTCCGTGCGTGTCTACTGAACAGGCCGTCCATGCGTGTCCACTGAACAGTCCGTCCGTGTGTGTCCATTGAACAGTCCGTCCGTGCGTGTCCACTGAACAGTCCGTCCGTGAGTGTCTACTGAACAGTCCGTCCGTGCGTGTCTACTGAACAGTCCGTGCGTGTCTACTGAACAGTCCGTGCGTGTCTACTGAACAGTCCGTCCGTGCGTGTCTACTGAACAGTCCGTGCGTGTCTACTGAACAGTCCGTGCGTGTCTACTGAACAGTCCGTCCGTGAGTGTCTACTGAACAGTCCGTGCGTGTCCACTGAACAGTCCGTCCGTGCGTGTCCACTGAGCAGTCCGTCCGTGCGTGTCCACTGAACAGTCCGTCCGTGCGTGTCCACTGAACAGTCCGTCCGTGTGTGTCCATTGAACAGTCCGTCCGTGCGTGTCCACTGAACAGTCCGTCCGTGCGTGTCCACTGAACAGTCCGTCCGTGCGTGTCCACTGAACAGTCCGTCCGTGCGTGTCTACTGAACAGTCCGTCCGTGCGTGTCTACTGAACAGTCCGTGTGTGTCTACCAGAGGTGGGACAAAGTCATTGTTTAGCAAGTCACAAGTCAGTCTCAATTCATTGCCCTCAAGTCCCGAGTCAAGTCACGAGTCAAGACAGGCAAGTCCCGTGTCGAGTCCAAGTCAAAGGCCAACAAATCTCAAGTCAGTCCCAAGTCCTACGGTTTGACTTTCGAGTCCTCTCGAGTCTTTTTGACCGCGATTTGTTTCTTGTTGGTCTCCACGTACTTTTGTAGGCAAACAAAATAATGTTAGGAATCATTTTGCTGGTGCATTCTCGTTGGTCTCTGACCCATGGACTAACAGTTTGTTCCATGTCGTTGGCTGCTGGTAAATCAAAACTATCTACGTGATCTAATTGGATGTTGTGCCAGATGCAGGCTCAGTTACACATGCACAGACCACACATAAAATCAGAGCAGTCCGTGTCAACATACTTTTTATCTTTGGGGTTTTTAATGGGAAGTAGCAAGTGCAGCATATATGAATATGAGTATTGGGCTAGGACCTGTATCTATATAATCAGTTTAATGTCCGTAGTGGTTATTGTTCCAAATGTCCTACCGTAGGATAGGGGTAGTATGAGGGGTCTAGGCTTTGGACCTGGGGCAGCTCGCCATCAAAAAAAAAGGGGAGGGGGGGGGGCAAAGGACTGAAGGGACCAATGGAGGGGAAGGAACCTGGCCTGTATGAACTGGACCAGCATTAGTAATATCTCATAATTACCAATATATCATTACATAATAAAATGTCTCATATAAATTAATTCAATCAGTCAAAGCACTGATTCTCATATAAATGCACCATAAACAATAGTGCAAATATTAATCTAGCTTAGTGCACATAATCAAAACAACTATCTAATGTATGCAAACTTTAGCAGGAGGAGCACAGCAAAAACATACTCATAATAATAGGCCTCGGCGCCCACACAGAAAAATATAAGAAAGAGCCAACAGAGCAGCGCAGGCTAGCGCTAGTTTGACTCACCAGTTCCTCTTTAAAACACGGCACACAGTGTGACAACTGCGTCGATTCAATTGTATGAGGCGCCTGTAGTGAAAGCATATCAATTACGGTTTGTAGAACAAAATATGACGTTAGGTCGCGATAAATACCTGC